TATATATATATATATATTCAAGTACATTAAGATTCATTAAGTATAATAATCTAACGGATCGTTACATATCAAGTTTACTTAATTATATATTTAAGACAACTTTAAAATCTTTTTTTATCTAAACAACATAAAGATTTTGAGTCATTTTGTATGCTTAGACAAAATTATTATAGATAGTAAAATTTGTATTTATTAATGTAATTGTATATGTATAATTCAAACTTTAAACTCTTAATTATGAATATGTCACTATCAAATATTATATATATATATATATATATATATACTTAATGATATATTAAAACTAATTAAATGAATACTTTATTTGTTTATCATCTGAATATTGTTAATAAATATATAAGAAAATAAATATATAAATATTTTTTTATTATAAATTAATTAAACACGACGACATTAGAATCACGAAAAAAAAATAGTAATATTTTCTAAGAAAAATTAGTTTTTAGTAGCGTTTTTCTTCTTATTATTAGTAAAATGTTAACATTTCCTCTAATTTTATTATAAAAGAAGTTTGTTACATGTTTGAATTTGTTATATAATAAATACTTTCCTTTATATGGTTAGAAAGTGTTATAATATACCTCACACATGATTTTTTTCTCTCAGAATCTCTCACATCACCTATTACTTGTATTAATTATTATTCTTTTCAATAAAAAAAAAGTTACATCACTAAATAGGTGGAGAGTGAGGAAATTAAAACAGTATATGTGAAAATTGAAAAATAAAAAAAGGAAGTATGTAAAAAATGATGAGAAAATGTTAAATTAAATATTAAATGTGTAAAATGAAAAAAAATAAGAATATTTTAAAAAATAATTTTATTTTAAAAAAAGATGTACTTATTAAAAAAACGTATATATATGGACCTAAAATGTATACAATGATTTGGGCTTCAAGAAGTAACAATCTCAGCAAAATAAAACCATGATCCAACCCAAATTAATTAAGCTCATTACTAATTATTAGTTCAACTAAATTAATTAATCACTCGCATATCTAATTTAACACACATTTAAATATTGAAGAATATTTTGGCTTTGGAAATAAATTATCTTCGCTTATATTATAAGGCACTGTATTGAAATATATGTTCCTTTGGAGAAGAGAGACCTCCGGTAAACAAAAGCAAATTAAACTCATGAATATTCTTCTTACTGTTTTTCATTTAATTCCACTATTACTTAGCATAACTGAAACATAACCAAAAAAACAAAACAAGTGTTTCTACACAATTCTATTATTATTATTATTATTATTAATCATCTTATAAATAAATATTTATATTTGAGTTTTAATTTTGACCATTAAAGTGTTAAAAAATAAATTTTACAATTAATTATTTTTATATAATTTAATGACTGTGCTTTACTGTTCTTGTCTCTTATAATAAGATATATTCTCATTAAATGTTTCTTTTATATATATATATATATAATATTAAAATAACTGAAATAACTTTATAAAGAATAAAAAATAATAAAATTACATCAAATAAAATTATATTTATGCGTTGTCCTATTGATAGACAGATTATTGTGTAATATTTTATAATATCAGTTTATTAATATATTACAATATCCGATTTTGTTATTTATAGATATTATTATGCTTGAGCTATAAAGTCGCTTTGGCCGAGTGGTTAAGGCGTGTGCCTGCTAAGTACATGGGGTTTCCCCGCGAGAGTTCGAATCTCTCAGGCGACGCTTTTACCTTTTTATTTTCATTAAAAAAAAAATAAAAAATAATTATATGAAAAACAGCATATAGAATTTGAGAAAAGAAAGTAATTGTCAAAACAAACAAAAAGGAAAAAAAGGCATAGGCAAAAACATCAATACTGGGATATTTATAGTAAAAGAGTCAGAGAAGCGATATAAGAAAATTTAAAATGAACCACTAGAATCAATATTCAATATTGTACAGGATTTGGGTATATATAAATAATGTTGTAACTTTTAATCTTAATATTATTATTCTACAACCTTTTAGATGTGCATTATATTACTAATAAAAAAAAATGCTTCATGTTTGTATTAAAATAACAAGTTTCTCTCGATAATTTGTAGAGTTATTAGAAATTAAGTGTAAATAGACAAAATAAAAATATTTCTTTTATCATTAACTAATAGAAATGAACACATTTCGTGTCTTTGTGAAATCTTCTTTTAAATACAAACATATCAGTGAATGTAAACAGTTTTAAAGATAAAACTTTTATGAAAAAGACTTTTCTCTCTTTTATTAATTAATTAATACGGTGTTTTGTAAAAGATTTAAGTTGATCCTCTGTATATATAAATAAAGTTTCTAAAATTAACTAAAAATTTACTGTCAAGAATCTAAAACTACATCTTTATTCATATATCCCTTTTAATCTACTTCAGCTCTTTTAATGATATCTATAAATTCAATTTTGCTGGTTGTTTTAAAAAGATCATCAAAAATTAAAATAATTTTATATCATAATTTAAAATAATATTTAGGTTTAATTGAGCTTTTATATTTTAAAAGTCCTTATAATCTTTTATATGTAATTAAATCCCTGCACATTAACGTTATTTTAATTAGTAATAAAAAAAAACACTTGGTTCCTCTATAAAAAAAAGATAAATATTTTTTAAAATAAGTTGGTAGTTATTGTTTTTTAAAAGTAATTATTATTTTTTAAATGTATTATTATTTTTTATTTTATCCTTACATATATTGATAAAAGAATGTAAATATAAATATAGGATAATAATTATCTATAAAAAATAGACACCCAAAAAAGGATATCTTTTATATATATGTGGTGTATATTACCTATACACTCACTTTTTTTTTTCTTTTCTTTTTCTTTTACCATTTTTCTTTTACTTTTTTCTCCCATTTCCTCTTATATAAAAAGTTATCTTTGTCTAATAATTTCATATAACTATAACGATAAAATCTTATTTCATTAGAAAAATTAGTCATGTGTATCGCATAACATAATTTAGTTCAGGTAAAAACCAAAGCTTCAAAAGTATTATTTATCATGAGATTCTAAAGTCTTGTTTGCCCTCCGTCCTAGTAGAATTATAAATTAAGATTATCATTTATGTCAAGTATAAATTTTATTAAATGCAGTTTTAATTTTTTTGAATTCATTAGAGTTAATACTTAATATATAGTGGATGTAATGTGTTATTAAATGCAGATTTTTTTTTTTTATTTCAAAATATTTTTTTAATATTTTTTCAGCGCATTAATTAATGAAAAATGGAATAACAATTGTTTTCTGTCAATAAAAATAAATAAATTGAATAACATCTAAAATACAAACGTGCAATCCTATTTTTTAAAGAATGTTTAAAAATATAAAATAAATTCAAGACTTTTACATGCATTAAAAAAATAGAACAACTAGTATTTTCTATTTTTTAAAATATAAAAGATTAAAAAAAATAGAGATCTTAGACAAGTTCATATTTCTTAAATAACGGATTTTTTCATACAATCCCCTGTTTATGACCCCAAGGAAGATAGTTTGGCTTAATTAGGATCCTCTAATGGAGAATTTTCTGACAAGTCAGCATATGTTCATCTTGAGCATGGTTAGATTGACCATAACCAATTTGCTTTCTCATCTATTTGGAGGTTGAAGGGACTTGAATGTATTAAATTCATGCTTTGAAAAATGACTCATGCTACCTTGCTAACTAATATTGTTCGAGCCAAAAGAGGTCAGACATTGGATAACTATTGTCCTAAATGCCACTTGGAACCAAAAACGAGGTGTCATGTTGTAAGAGATTGTGTTGTTATCAAAAATGTTTGGACATAGTTAGCTACTGGGGATTATCTCCTAATTTTAGCAATGTTAACTTGGAAACGAGGCTTGAAAGCAATCTTACATTTTGAAATGAGAACTGGAGACTCATTTTTGTTTGGAAATTAGTAGAATATATACTGAGTGTTCTACTTTTACTTTAAGTATACAAAGTGATCCCTATGGCTCATCTCCTACCAGATGACAACCTTCTCCATTTGGTTCTATCAAACTCAATTATGACGAAACAATCGATGGTGCTAGAAGTAAGGCGATATGTGGTGGTGTTATTAGGAACATATGGGAGGTTTTTTAACAGGTTTTTCATGTAAGTTCAGTCAGCGTTCCGTTCTTCCAGTAGAGTTATTGGCGATATTTCATTGACTTTGGATCATTAAGGACAAAGGCTTCAAAGAGAATATTATTGTAGAATCAGACTCTAACCTTATTGTCAAGTTTCTCAATGAAAGTTGTAGTGCTTCTCATAGTTACACATCTTTGATTAATTTTGTAGTAGAAATTGTTGATATGGAGCAGGACAAGTGTTCACATATTTATAAATAAGGAAGCCAACCAAGTGGCTGATACAAGGGCAAATCTTAACTTTAATATTTAGGATAAATTTTAGATCTTTGATAATCCTTCTCACGAGTTGTTTTTTCTTTGTTTGTTGATTTTGCAAGTGTATTTTTTTACCATGATTTTTAGTTTAGGCTTTTAAGTCCCGCTTATTCAAAAAAAAAAAATAGATAAGTTCATATTTAAACTATCTTTAAGATCAAATGTGATTACAAACTTAACCATGTAACTTGTTCCTTTTTCACAAGTGTCTCTTGTGACATTTTTATTTATTTGTCCAAATTACTTTAATATTTATTTGTCATTTTTTTTCAAATACATGTTACTTAAATCTTTTTTCATTTATATTTTATCTTTTCTATTTTTTAATTACATATTCATCTTAACATTATCATTTTTGTTACTTTCTTTTAATATATATCAAAAATAAATTACAAGCAAATTTATAGCCAAGCACATTGTATTTAACAATAATATATATATATATATATATATATATATATAATTTTGAAAGTTTTATAATTTTAATGATATAACATTAAACAAAATTTGATGGTATGAGATTATTTTATAGTATTTGTTTGATGGGATATTTTATGAGAATTATTTTTATAAGATTATTACACACAACTCTACAATGATAAGATATTGTCCGTTTTGGGTTTAAGTCTTCATAGTTTTACTTTTGGCCATCACTCAAAAGGTCCCTCTAACATTAAAGTATGTGTGTGCTTTATAAGTTGTTATTTTTTTTCTTATTTTTTTAATATAAGACTTGTTTGTATCCCAATAATACTAAAAAAAATGGTAAAAGTAAAAGAAAATAGAGACTTAAAATCACTTGCTTTAGCTGCTTTATTCTAAGACCGGCATGTTCATGATACCTTTTCGATTTCGGATTCTTGCTTAGAATTCATTATCTATGGTGGCTCATAGGAATAGAAGAAAAATATTAACAGAGGCAGTTTGTAGAATTAATCCTTAGAATTGTCTTCAATTACAAGTAAAAAATATTTATTATATATATCTCTAGCTAGCTCCCACACAAGACAAAGTTATTCTTCAGTTTATTAGAAGTGGCTCCTCCTTCTTGTCCTCCCATGCTTTCAACCTCTTGGCTGCTTCCTCCACCTGCAATGAACAAGATTAATTCTCATTACACAGTAACAATACATTCCCCATTTCCTGCATAGTTATATCAAAATAAATTATTATTGCAGAGATGGTTTTTTACCTCCTTAGTCCAATCCGTTCTAAATGTGACCCAAATTAGAATAATTGTTTGCATAACGGTGCCACCTAGCATTCCCACCCATATTCCCTGCCACAAATACACTAGTCTCGTTTAAAAAAAAAATGTATTTGTTTTCATTGAAATATAGATTACTTTTAGCAAAATGAAATGCAAAAGCATGCTTAAGATACACGTTTAAAAATTTAACACACTTCAATTTATACATACCTTGGCACCAAATTTGAAATAAAAGCCGAGAACCGCACCCAATGGTATGCCAACTCCATAATAACAACCCACGTTTACATAAGCTACGAAAGCTTGCCATCCACATCCAACAGCCACCCCTTTATTCACATATATGTTTAAATATATTAGTTTCTAAGAGTGTAATAAGTAATAAACCAAGGTTATGCATGTCCACAACTAGGAATTAAAAAACCAAAATCTTGAGAAATTTTCTTCCGAATGCTTTTTGGCAATAAATAATTGAGTTTAAAGGTTTGAGCAATATGAAGCAGTAATTAATTACCAGATAAGACGGGCTGAATGCCATTGAGGACAAGAGCAAGAGCAAGCAGAGGGCAAAGATCTGAAACTGCAGCAGCAACTTCTTCACCCCCTGTGAAGGCATAGCTAATGACATCCCTTAATGCAAGAACCACCAGTGCTGCAATAACTGATATTATTAAAGAAATCAATGTCACCACCACCACCGAAAACGAGGCTGATTTTGGATTTCTTGCTCCTAGTTCGTTGCTCACTCTCACGCTGCATCAATTGTTGTTCAATATGAAACTCACTTTTCATACTTTTGTATGTTTGAAAAAGACGAAAACTATATACGTACGTGGGAAGTAAAATATGTTCTTATGTGATTAATGTTTTCAATTACGTAAGCTTGCAAAAATCAAATATAACAACCATTCAAAATCATACACTCCCTATGTTTTAGAAAAACTTACTATAGCCTACAGATTATCTTTAAAATAAGAAAGTACTGAGCGTTAATTAGTTTGATGGTTTTATTCAAAAAAAAAAGTATAAAAATAGGAGAAGAGCAAACTTAAAAAGAATGTTAAAATAGAGGGAGTATTTAGTAAGTTAATTTGATTAGTTTCATGGACTTGTATTTATTAATATTACTCATGATTTTGATTCGTGAAATGGTTAGCACTAACTGGCATATAAGTGTTTTCCTTATGTTCATCGAGAAATCTAAATGAAACTTTTTCAATAAGTGCCAAATAAATTGAAATGCCAAAAATTGAATTATATGGGAACTACATTATGGAATTTCCAGCTGTTGAGTAATATCTAATCTAATGGAAATTTATAAGAAATAAAAATAAATAAAAAACTATATTTTAAGTACCTTGCAGCTGCGTTGAACCCAACAGAGATCATGAACACCCATCCAGAAATTGTGGTACTACAATAACAAATAAAAAGAGTGCTAGCGTGATTAGATCAATTTTGAAGAAAAAAAAAAATTAAACAGTAGCTTCTTCGAAGAAAATAAATAAGCACAATGGCATGCCCAACTAATTCATCCGAGTTGGCACGTCTGATTTGGGGTCCAAAATGTCTAATAAAAGGATAAGAACTCTTAAATGCATCATAAATTCATAATCATTCAAATCATAAATGTTTCTTTTGGTTTTCCAGATCAGCATTATATTTAATTAAAAGGAAAATGAAAGAAAAAGAAAAAACATAACTAACTTTTCAATATTGTAGTGGTGACTGTCAAAAAATGGTGTGAATCCTCACAATTTCTCTCCTTTTTTTTTCTTTTCATTTCTACAATTTTAGATGTATAAATAATAGTAAATATTAATTATTATTTTAATATTATTTATTAATATTTAATGTTATTTATACACTCAAAATTAGAAAAATAAATAAAAAATAGAGAAAATCTCAATTCCTAAAAAATGGTGATCGGTGGTGGTTAAGACATTAAATTTGTGCACGTCTTATTCCAGAACAGGATGGGTGGTACCGTGGTGGTGGGGTACATTAACAAAAGTACAACACTGGCAATTTTGTTTTTCCCTGCAATCCCACCCAGTGAAAAAAAAAAAGTTTCTTTTATTTGCTTGGATAAATAAACAAATAAAAAAGTCAAAATATCTATAAAAAAAATACTTATAATAAAAACATTAATCTACAAAATTAAAAAGCTTGTTCCATTAGTTTTTCTTAATAATTTTAATTTTTATATTATTTTTAAAATAAAAAGAAAAACCTATTATTTATTCATGTTCAAGTAAGAGTGATAAAGTAGAGAGAAATTCTATGGTATCCATATTGTTTGAAAGGGTACTGGTACAGTTATAATTATAATTTTATTTTATATTTTATATTTTAAATAATTTATTTAAAT